CGCAGTCAAACCAAAGTTAAAGGATAATTACTTTTTCAAAATCGCTAAAAAGTCAAGTATAAAAAAATATTGCAAAAATTCTAAAATCGGAAAAAATATAGAGAAAATATGTTTAATGGAATCGAATTTCAAAATAATGGTATAAGATAGTTATGTTAGTTACTTCGCTTATAACACAAGGACGGGTTGACGGAATTTTACAATTCATACAAATTCGGAATGATATCTTGGCAAAAAAAAAAAAAATAATAAAAAAAGTGTGAAAATACTCCAATAAAAATGTGAATGGGAAAAAATAATTTTTGTCTACTTTTTTTTCATTTTGACATATTGTAATAAAGTGTATATTTTTCATTGTTTTGAATTCTGAGTGAATAATATTAAATGAGTGCGCAATACGATGTTTAATGACCGTCTTTCATGTCTAAAATTGATATCTACAACAAAATTGATATCTAGCTTTCAACTCCAGGACCTATCGTGCCTCAGCTGGAAGATGCGAACACATTTAAACAAACAAAACTTACATTCAAGACAATAATCCATCCAATAAGAACTCAAAATGCAAAATTCATTGGGATTATGCAATCAGTGAAATATCGAATACAAAGGGTGCAAAATAGTAGAGCGAATTGGATATTTAGTAAGAAAAGGATTTATATCCTTCTATAAATTCTTCCTAAACTTTCAAGATACCTTAAATAGCTTTTGCAGGTCATGATAATGGTCATAAACCCGATTTCAAGTATATTTTATATTTTAACCATATTTTTCATACTGATTTCGGCAAATGTTGGTAATTTGAGAATAAACCATCCTTGCAAAAAATGATCACTTTTTGGTATAATCATCATTTTAGCCCTTAGTTGGCATATTTTTTATGAGGGTACAAAACCTCTTCTCATAAATTTTTAAATTTTCGGAGTAGGATCCATCTTAGTCTTGACCACATTCATCAATCAAAAAAAAAATGTATTTAGGCTACTCTGGGGTAGAGAACCATCTTACAGGTAATTGTCAACATAGGCATTTACCAAGTGCACTTTCCCAACCAATGTGTGGTCAGAAAAGAAAATTTTGCATTCTATTGCATTTTTAACCCCCAATAGATTATTGGTTGGGAACAAATTTCAACTCATTCAGTTGGAAATAGTGGCAGAAACAAGAAAAAAAATGACGAATATTAGAATGTCGCACCCTACCGAACATATGTTTAATCGTCGTTGAAGTATACAATGATGAAAAAAATATGGACCTTATGGGGTCTCCAACGCTCAGTTTAAATGACATCAAAATTAATTCACATCTTACGGTAATAGATGTAAAAGAGTAATTATCTTTGACTATTATAAAATCATTCTACTACTAATTATGAGGCGGACAAAACTAAATACCACGCAGCCCGGCATTTTAAATGTCGGAAATACAAGTTCCAAATTACAGCTACTTTGAAAATGTTTATAAGCTCATTACTATACCAAAAATTGAGCTCAGTTTTCACATGGGATTGTTATAGATGTTCTATATCATATAGGTTTTTAACACTCAAATTAAAGCCGTTGGCTGAAATAATATCAGGCTAATCAAAATATGTATGTAAAATATGTAAACCCGACGGTGAACATCTATTATAATTTTTGGAATGAATATTTATTTCTATTTAGAAATTAGCATGGAAGTCAGCATTGTTAAAATCAGTCAGCATGCATTGTTAAAATCAGTCCAGCGGTTCTTGAGTTATAAGCGTAGTAACTAACACAACACAAAGTTATGTTAGTTACTAACTCAAGAACCGCTGGACTGGACAATTCATGCTGGTTCGGAATTGTCTCTTGGCCGAAAAGGATAAAATTAAAAAAAAAAAAAAAAAAAAAAACGCATAGAAATGTGATATATTAACATTTTTATTTCGACTTTTTTCGAATGTACGGTTTATATTAAGTTGTAGTATCGAATTATGTGGTGGCGAAACTGAATAAATGATATCGGAATAATTGAACGCAGTCAAACCAAAGTTAAAGGATAATTACTTTTTCAAAATCGCTAAAAAGTCAAGTATAAAAAAATATTGCAAAAATTCTAAAATCGGAAAAAATATAGAGAAAATATGTTTAATGGAATCGAATTTCAAAATAATGGTATAAGATAGTTATGTTAGTTACTTCGCTTATAACACAAGGACGGGTTGACGGAATTTTACAATTCATACAACTTCGGAATGATATCTTGGCAAAAAAAAAATAATAATAAAAAATGTGTGAAAATACGCCAATAAAAATGTGAATGGGAAAAAATAATTTTTGTCTATTTTTTTTTCATTTTGACATATTGTAATAAAGTGTATATTTTTCATTGTTTTGAATTCTGACTGAATAATATTAAATGAGTGCGCAATACGATGTTTAATGACCGTCTTTCATGTCTAAAATTGATATCTACAACAAAATTGATAACTAGCTTTCAACTCCAGGACCTATCGTGCCTCAGCTGGAAGATGCGAACACATTTAAACAAACAAAACTTACATTCAAGACAATAATCCATCCAATGAGAACTCAAAATGCAGAATTCATTGGGATTATGCAATGAGTGAAATATCGAATACAAAGGGTGCAAAATAGTAGAGCGAATTGGATATTTAGTAAGAAAAGGATTTATATCCTTCTATAAATTCTTCCTAAACTTTCAAGATACCTTAAATAGCTTTTGCAGGTCATGATAATGATCATAAACCCGATTTCAAGTATATTTTATATTTTAACCATATTTTTCATACTGATTTCGGCAAATGTTGGTAATTTGAGAATAAACCATCCTTGCAAAAAATGATCACTTTTTGGTATAATCATCATTTTAGCCCTTAGTTGGCATATTTTTTATGGGGGTAGAAAACCTCTTCTCATAAATTTTTAAATTTTCGGAGTAGGATCCATCTTAGTCTTGACCACATTCATCAATCAAAAAAATTGTATTTAGGCTACTCTGGGGTAGAGAACCATCTTACAGGTAATTGTCAACATAGGCATTTACCAAGTGCACTTTCCCAACCAATGTGTGGTCAGAAAAGAAAATTTTGCATTCTATTGCATTTTTAACTCCCAATAGATTATTGGTTGGGAACAAATTTCAACTCATTCAGTTGGAAATAGTGGCAGAAACAAGAAAAAAAATGACGAATATTAGAATGTCGCACCCTACCGAACATATGTTTAATCGTCGTTGAAGTATACAATGATGAAAAAAATATGGACCTTATGGGGTCTCCAACGCTCAGTTTAAATGACATCAAAATTAATTCACATCTTACGGTAATAGATGTAAAAGAGTAATTATCTTTGACTATTATAAAATCATTCTACTACTAATTATGAGGCGGACAAAACTAAATACCACGCAGCCCGGCATTTTAAATGTCGGAAATACAAGTTCCAAATTACAGCTACTTTGAAAATGTTTATAAGCTCATTACTATACCAAAAATTGAGCTCAGTTTTCACATGGGATTGTTATAGGTTTTTAACACTCAAATTAAAGCCGTTGGCTGAAATAATATCAGGCTAATCAAAATATGTATGTAAAATATGTAAACCCGACGGTGAACATCTATTATAATTTTTGGAATGAATATTTATTTCTATTTAGAAATTAGCATGGAAGTAAAAATTGTATATCTATATATATATATATACATAAACATAAACACCAAATTGGATGAGATACATATGGGAGCTATAGCTATATCTGATCCGTTTTTCATCAAATTGGTATACCTGCTTCTAGACTGAATTCGGTCAGATGTACCTGAATTCATGACTTTTGGACTTATAGTGGCCATTTGGTGCAATTAACAATTAACGCGAAATCGGTTGAAGATAAACATATCGGAGCTATATCTAAATCTGATCCGTTTATCACTATTTTCAATAGGGTTCGTCCTTGGGCCAAAGACATATTGTTTAGAAAATTCGATCTCAATCGGATAACGAATGCGATCTGCATTTTGTTCACAATAATACATGTAAGGACGGACAGACGGACTAACATGCATAAATCGACTCAGAAAGTGATTCTATGAAGACCCTTAAAAGTAACTATGTGTCCATCTCGCTTCCTTCTTTATGGTACAAACAAATGCAAATGGATACAAAGAGTGGAACCATATAACTTATCTTTGAAATGTTTAGAAGGGAGCGATTTTTGATCAAGAGGTAAAATGGTTCATTCATAGGCATCTAGCCACGACGGTCTGGTTACACATTGTGCAATATTTGTATTATATCCATCACATTGGCTCAATTCCAGTTAACTCGGTGGTCCGAGAGGTACTATTCGAAAAGTTTCAACTCCACCGGAAATCTATGGCTTTAATTGACGGTGACGGAGTAGGCTGAAGCAATGGCTAATAGAGACAAAAATGTGTCATCCTATGTCATCCAAATTTACTCCGTACTCCGAAAATAATCTAGGTTCAAACGTGTTCCACTTCAAACAACAAATACCATTAAGATCGATCGGAGAATTTAGTTAAAGCTTTCAAAAAAACTATAAAGTGTCTGGAGTGTCTGGGGGGACATAAAAAAAAAACAGGAATATATAGGCAATTTTATACCACAAGGACTGTTATCTATTGCGAGTCTTTAATACCTAAATTTTAAAAAATTAAACGGGGTATCGTTAGTTCCGTTACATCGAAACCGTGGATCATGGACAATGACACCGTTTGTAGAACCCATTTTGAATTACAAATACGAAATTTTACACAAATCCATTAGAAAATATGGCATAATTCGTAAAAAATACCAAATATCCGGAAAACGTGTGCCTATACATATGTTCAATGTTTTGCATCCGGGGCTAGAACGAACTACAGATACCACTTTATAGGCATATCCTTGGAAAATATTTTTCGAAACCATTAAAATACCCTTCCGCATCTCTAAACTCCTCTTACACTATATAAAACTAGCTTATTATTACTTAACATTTCATAATATTTTCAGGAAAGGGCGACCTGGTTGGATCGGATTTAAACCTCCATCTTGTTGCTACATCCAATGGGCTACTGACTGCAACAACAAACTGCGGTGGCCAAGATGTTGTTGTAAGAAGCAGCAGTGACATAAAGGTAGGTTTTCATACACAATAATATTAGACTGATTTTCACTCGAAGAATATTCCATATTTAGTAATTTTTCGTGTTCAAAAAAAAAAAAAATAACACAGAAACTAGTTGTATTACTACAACCAATGGTTTCTGATATATTCGTTACAAAATTACCCTCTGCATCCATGTACTTTTTCGTAAAACTTAATATTTCTAAACGTTTTGACTGTTCAGTCTCTTATTAGTTTAAGCAGTATACATGTTTTATTAGTTTTATTACATTTATTTAGAGATACCTGTGTATTGAATTACAAGTGGTTATTGAATTCTAGCAGTAATTGTCATCTACATATATTTTCCACAAGTTTTTTAATAGCAGACTAAACTTGACCAGTGAATTACCGTTGCACTAGAGATATCAATTTGAATGTTTGTTATATTAGAGATAATTATAAAAAGACATTTTTTGAACCTTCTGCGTTTTAAACTCAAAAATTAAGAATATTTGTACTTATTACTAGAAGAACAGCACGAAAGGAGGTTTGCAGTCGAGGTTTATGTCTGCGGAAATCCATTCAAGGGGCGGCAGATAAAGAAGAAAATTCACAAGTCGGTTTATCCTTCTGTTGGAATTAACGTCAATGAAGGGTGGATTGATCAATGCTATTAGTATGATCTGATGAGTATAATCTAATGATTGTGAGGATTAGAAGCTGGGGCTTTAAAATAACAGGCGATGCTAGAAAGACGAAAATATTTCAAGATGTGAAGAATGAATAAACTGAAATAGTGCTATCTGGTAACAAAATAGAATTGGCTAGCATGCCAAAGAATCTAAGCGTTATAATTGCAATTAATATGGTCAAATTTCCAAACAATGGGAATCTTCCCAACCCCTTGGATGATGATATCGAAATGGACCTCATCGACCTGGATAAATAATTAATCGATGAGATCCCATCACTACCAACAATAAAAAAGCACTTTTCTTCTTGAGGTCAAAAGAAATGAAAGGGTCGATCGCCAGATCAATTGATTTACAATAAATTGACCGCCAGCGACATAAGTTTGAATTTTTAGTGTTTTATTTGCTGACAACAAACATAAGTATCGTCAGAATACTTGTTGTGTTGTTGTAGTTTGCAAATTTATATTGTTGTCCGTCTGGTTCAACAATAATCTTCGATTCTAAATCTACTCAGTAGAATTAGAATCCCTACAAGTCCTTTTGACCGTATCGGAACTTGTACATGGTCCTTCAAGCCGGATAAAAAAATAAGAATCGGCTGATTTGCCAACAAAATTCCAAAAAAAAAAAAAAAAATAAAAAAAATAATAATAATAATTTAAAATTAATTGTAAAGTAGTGAGAAGTGCTGTTGTTTTGTTTTAATTTGCATTCGAAAGTGGCGGCTTTGTGTTGTTTGTTGTCACTAATACTTACAAAAAATTAACACTGCCATTTCAAAGAAATAATTTGTGAAATACAGTCAAAGCTTTACATCTAACACTCTAAAATAACACATACACTAACACATTTTAAAGATCACTCCCACTTAAATTTTTTCATCATTTTTGGCATTTGTCTTTGTTTTGGTCATCTGCCATTCTACAACATTGAACAAGTCATTATCACCTGTTCCTTGTTGTTTACATCGGTCTGTCAGCTGTCTTACTGACCATCGATTATTTTAGAAAGTGTTCAGGAAAAGTGAGCAAGTTAGTGTAACGTAACGAAAGGTTGTCGTAAACGTATTTTAACGTAGCACAAGTACTGAACGTATCATAAATTGATATTGAATACAAATAAAACTAATACTAACTAACAATAATATAAAAGAATAAATACAATAAAAATAATAAATTTAATAATAAAAAAAATATTTAATTTAAAAAAAAATATAACATACTATTGAATTTTCAATAAATTTTTATATATTAAATATTTATTGAGAAATAATAATTATACTTCACACATTTTTTAAATCTAATTGGAATAACTTCATTAAATTATTATATAATAAATAAATTGAACGTTACAGTTTGAAAGTGTAATATAAAAAAAAAAACGAAGATAAACAATTACAAGACAAATACAATAAAACTATTAAACAAATAGATACGTATAAATAAATAAATTTGATAAAAATAAAAAAAGATGAAAATAAAATAATCTATAATGGAGTCCGTACGTTGCGCTAAGTTCGAATATGAAGCGGACAACCTTTTGGACGAATGCACAAAATTGAGAAATATGCCAGAAAAGGATTTAAGCGATTCTTTAATAGAAACAAAATTAGAATCGCGTAATGAAGATTGGCAAAATTTACGTAGTGTGTTTGAGAGTGTATTTTTTGCGGGTACAGAAGATGAAGAAGACAAACAATATAAAATAAATGTAAAAAAATATTATGAGTCCGTCAGAGATAATTACCAAGTGACTAAAGCTTCTTTATTGGAAATATGAAATAATCGCAAGGCGCAGAGCCAAAGTAATACCGCTACAGGCGAAATTACAAATCCATCGTTGTTTCACAGCTCAGCTGTTTATCCTCCGGGTACAACGTTTGATATGTCTGTGATTTGTATTAAAATGCCACCTTGTGACACTCAAGACTCCTACGGAAGATATGAAGAATGGCCAACATTTAGAGATATGTTTACGACTATTTATGGAAATTATCACAGACTCACACCGGAGCAAAAGCTTTATCATTTGGGTAATAAAACTAAAGGTGAGGCTGGTAGAATTGTAGATCGGTACCCTTTATCTGATCAAAATTTTTCGTTAGCATGGGAATTATCGGCATTATCGGTGCGATACGAAAATGTTAGGGTACTAGTTGATAACCAACTGAAGATATAATTCAATCTTTCTTCTGCAACGGTTGAATCTAGCAAAGATATTAAAAGAATTCAATCGACAGTTAGTGACTGCTTGGCTATATTGAGAGCTCATAGTTTAATGGTGGATCAATGGGATCCAATTTTAATATATTTATGTTCAACTAAGCTTCCGGTTGATACACTGACCCTATGGGAACAATCGCTCGAATCACATTTAGAGCTACCAAAATGGTCACAAATGGAAGATTTTCTTAAGAACAGACATCGGGTTCTAGAGTGAATAGATGGTCTCAGAAGTCAAACAGCTTCAACTTCATTTAGTAATGATCATATATCACATCAAAATGCTCATTCGACACAATCAAGAGAAAGAGGTTGTGTAATAATTGTCTAACAAGTGGACATATTTCGCAGGAATGCGTGAGTGTGCATAGGTGTATGTTTTGCAAAAAGAAACATCATACTAAATTGCACCTACTAAGTAATGTACAAGAGAGATCTATACAACCAAGAAATGTAACGAGGGATAACCAAGCACCTGTCCGTTCAGCAAATGGTCATTAAACAAATACTCTTGTTACCACTGACAATACTGTTGATGAAATGCCTAGTTCATCTAGTAGGATATTTCAAGCTTCCAATGTGGAAACACATATTTTAGTGTGTCATGATGACATTATGTTGCCAACAGCATTAGTAAAAGTTAAACATGCTGGAGAACTATTTACTGTTAGAGCGCTCATTGACTCTGCTTATAAGCGAACATTTATAACGCAGAAAATTATAAAAAGAATCGGACTTTGCACAGAAAAGGCAAGTTTTAAAATAAGTGGACTGAGTGGAACAGTTGTTGCAAACTCCCATAAAAAATGTATTCTGACGCTGTGTTCAGATGCAAGCAACAACGAAGCAATAATTGTTCAAAATTTAACAAGTTTTCTATCAACGCAAGCAATAGTAATTTTTAATTTAGAAAGTATAAAAGAATTAAAATTTGCAGACCCTGGGTTTATGATTTCTGCCCAAGTAAATGTGCTAATTGGGAGCGATGTTATCCCACAAATAATATTGGAAGGTATTAAGAAGAACATATTGGGAAACATGATAGCTTAAAATTCAATTTATTGTTGGTACATCTATGGGCCAATAAAAGCTTCAGTAGAAGTAGAAGAATGTAATGAAGATAACAATAGTTCAGCATTAAAGAAATTCTGGGAACAAGAAGAAGTCAATAATGTTCAAATTGCTACAGATCGGACAACTATTGTGAGGAATTTTACGCCAATACGACTTACCGTCGTTCAGATGGAAAGTTCGTTGTAAGATCACCATTTAAAGATGAATCTCCTAATAACGTATATTTAGGTTCGTCCAGATTTAAAGCAAAGAAGAAATATGAGCATATGGAAGCAAAATTAAGAACAAATAAAGAAGTGGAAAAATCGTATAATGATGTTTTGAATGAGTATTTGTCATTAGGACATATGAAGCCCACAAATTCAAAAGAAATTTGTAATGATGGAAGGTATTATTCCTATTATTTACCACACCATGCTGTCTTTCAACCAGAAAGTACAAGCACAAAAGTGAGAGTGGTCTTTAATGGATCGAGTGAAACGAAAAGCTCGTAGTCCTTAAATGATGTTTTGCATACAGGGCCAATATTACAAAATGATTTAGTGTCTGTAATTTTGAATTGGCGCTTGTATGTGTTTAACGGTGACATTGAAAAATTTTACCGACAGATCTTTGTGCATCCTTCTGATCAGCAGTATCAAAGAATGTTATTCAGGAAAGATGTTAATGGAGAAATAAAAGATAATGAGTTATGCACAGTTACTTTTGGTGTAAACTATGCTCCTTATTTGGCGATTCGCACATTGTTGCAATTGGCAGAAGAGTCAAGAGAAATAAGTCCAATTGCGTCTAAAATAATAAAAAACGAGCTCTATGTTCATGATGTTTTGACTGTGGGTCATACTATTGCTTCAGAACTACAGGCGGAAAAACAACTAATTGATACATTGCATTCGGCAGGATTTCCGTTGAAAAAGATAACGGCAAATCATCCGAGTTTGCTTTCAAACGTCCGATCAGAGGATTTGTTGAATGAAGAATTTTTGAGAATTTTATGATATGAGTTCAACTAAAACATTAGGTATTCGGTGGAATGC